GTCACCAAAAGACTAGTATTTTTTCTCTAAAAATACTCCATAGAATATGGCTGAGGAGATTACTAATGCTTGTGGTTTCAAAAGAGTCAGAAATGTAGGGAGGCATTTGGGAGTTTGGATGAATCATGGTAGAGTTTCAAAAGAGGCATATAGGAACATAGTGGATAAGGTGCAAGATAGACTAAATGGGTGGCAATCAAGGTGTCTATCATAAGCAGGTAGAATAACCCTTACTCAATTTGTTCTTGCAACTATTTCTTATTGTCAAATGCAGTGTGATAAACTACCTCTATCAATTTGTCATGAGCTTGAGAAAATGTAGAGAAGATTTATATGGGGAGATAAAGAGAATAAAAAGAAACTCCATTTGATAGGCTGGAATACCCTAATAAAATCAAAAGCTGCTGGTGGTTTGGGGCTAAAGTGCCTATCTAAGATGAATGATGCCTTTGTAGGAAAGCTTTCCTGGGCTGTTTTCTCTCAACCGAATCTTCTTTGGGTACAGGTTCTTCGTGCAAAGTATGGTAGTCATCAAAATGGGGTGGATATTTTTCATAGCTCTGTTACAGATTTTAGACTTTGGAAACATATCTGTATGGTATGGAAAAATTTAGAAAATCATCTCACTTGGGAAATTGGAGATGGGAACAACATAGTCTTTTGGAAAGATATTTGGATGAAAGACATAGGAAGACTTATGGATGTAATGGCTATACCAATTCCATGGGAAGAGATAGGAAAAAATTAGCTGGGTATGTGAACAGCCAAGGAAAGTGGGATATAAAATCTCTTTCTAGATGGCTGCCATCAAATATTCTGTTGAAAATTAAGAGTTTGCTTCCTCCTAATTCTCATGATGGTCCTGATCAGAGGCGCTAGTGTTTAAGAGATGGAGCTGTGATTTCAGTCAAAGGAATTTATGAGAATCTTATGGAAGATAATGATTCTTTACATGTTAATGAAACTTAGTGGAAAAACATATGGAAGTGGGAGGTGCCTCAAGTGATCAAATTGTTCCTTTGGAAAGTTTCCCGATATCAAACTTCCTACAAGAGATAGATTGTGTAAATTCAATTTGGGAACTGCAACATGCCATGTTTGCTTGGAGGAACCAGAGAGCATCATTCATCTATTGAGATATTGCAATCAAATCCGTAGTTTTTGGACTGATTTGGTTCCAAACAATAATTATAACTCTTTTTTCTCTGACAGTTTGTTGAATTGGTTGCAGGGTAATATACTGAGTTCTGAAAAATTTAGAGGTATTATACCATGGAATACCATATTTGCAACTACTTGTTGGATGACTTAGATTTAGAGGAATGAAAAGGTAGTTGGTGAAATAAATTTTCATCACCATTACAAGCAGCACTTGGTGGAATCTAAAGCTCGGGAATTTCAAGAAGCTTTCCATCTTGCTAAGAAGCATCATCTAATGAGCAACAAGTCTAGCATTCTGGTTTGTTGGAATCCTCCGGAAGATGATTGGGTGAAATTCAACTCAGACGGAGCTGCAAAAGGTAATCCAGGTTTGGCGGCTTATGGAGGAGTTTTTCGTAATGCTTCTGGTCAATGGTTAAATGGTTTTTCTTATAGAATTGGAGTTTGTAATGCTATAAATGCTGAGTTTTGGGGGATTCTTAAGGGACTAGAGTTAGCATAGGAATTTGGCTGGAGGAAAATTATTATAGAAAGTGATTCGTTATCTGCTATCACTTTGCTCGCCGAATCTGGTGATGCAGCCCGCGAGAGTCATTTGATTTCTCGGATACGGGCATGGATCGCAAAGGAATGGATAATTCATTTGAGGCATACATATAGAGAAGACAACAATATTGTAGACTAGCTGGCAAACTATCCATACATAATTTTGATAATCTTGACATGTGTAGGTTCAATTCCCCTTCCCCTGGTATTGAGTTCCTGTTTAATGCTGATCTAGCGTCTGTTTGTAGACCTTAGACTATTTCTATTGTGTAATTTGAATTTGTGCTGTGGGTATTCCCCCTCAGCTTACCAAAAAAAGAAAGAGAAAAAATAAGTGAATCCTACCCATTTTTTATGCATTATAAAAATAATTTTGTCTTGTATAATATGAGAAATATATTTCTCATAAAATATTTAATTAAAAAGTTCAAAATTTTTAAAGTTTACTTTAGATAATTTTATCTAATTTTCATTAAAATACACACAAAAAAGTGTGTGGGGCCTATATTTTTTATTCTCTCTTCTCTTTTTTTTTTTTTTGATAACAATTCTCTCTTCTCTTTACATGGACCCTACACACTTTTTTATGTGTATTATGATGAATATTAATTAAAATTATCTAAAATAACTTTAAACTCTTAATTAAATGTACATATACTTTTTGGAATTGAATAAATTCAATAATTTTTAATTATTGAATAAATTCTTTTTTTTTTAAGAAAAACTTCAAAAATTTTCCTATAAGTTTCCTCAAATTCACTTACTTCTTTCCTGAAATTTTTAATAATTTACCGCTACTTAAAATTTCTTTATCACTTACCACCCTAATTTGATTTTACACCAAAATTTCGTTAATAGAGTTAAATTTTTTAAAAAATTTCAGAACTACCCCTTATAACAAAAAATAAGTAAAACAACGTGAGAAACCTCTGTTGTCTACCACTAAAAATGAAGCACCCCAAATTACTATCTTTTATTACACTGATATCTTCTATCATGAAAACATAAACATACGGTAATAGATATACATTAACTGAGCCATTAGCTTGCTGTCATCATGAATGTTTTTGTGGTCAAATGTCACTCTTATTTTTTTCAGCCAAAAAAAAAAAACACAGCTCTAAAAAAACACAGGTAAAATGTCACTTTTATTCTTGTTCAGCCTAAACAATATCATAAAAAATGAAGCACCTCAACTAAAACTATCTAACTCTTCCTCCTTTGCCATTTCAGCTATTTGTTATTTCCTAAACATGATAAATGATGACTCTGTAAAGCTACTATAAATCTCAAATCCATTCTAAAAACCTGAATTGCATGCAATCCAATATAAATAAAGCAAACAAAGAAGAGCATAAAAACTACAACTCTCAAAAAACCTCGACATAAAACTTGCCTTGAACAAACAAGTTTCAAGTATTAAAAAAGGGGCATGTTACGTTTACAACTTTTTTTATTTATAACTTTTACAACCTCAACTATGTTCTCCCGGGAGAATACTAATGGAGAATGTTCTCCCGGGAGAACATAGTTAAGGTTATAAGAGTTATAAACAAAAAAAGTTATAAACGTATCCCTTCCCATTAAAAAAATATAAAAAAAAGCCCAAAAGACATATTTGATGCCATTCTTATAGTTTCTTCAAAGCTAAACTAGTAACTATTTTAATTAAATTCATCTACCTCTTCAGGTAGTTTTACATCAACAAATTGAAAAACTTATAATATATGTTTTACATCATCAAATTAACTAAGAAATAACATGTCTCTTGCCCCTATCAATTAACCTTCTTATGCCAAAAAAGTGGGTTTGTGTAGAAAAAGAGGTTCATCACGTTGTTTTTCTTCTTCTTTTTTTTGTTATCAAGGATAGTTTTGAAATTTTATAAAAAATTTAACTCTGTTAAAAAAAATTTGGATGAAAAATCAAATTAAAAAGGTAAGGGATAAAGAAATTTTAAGCAGGGAATAAATGTTTAAATTTTTTGAAGAGGAGAGTAATTGATTTTGAGAAAATTTATAGGCGAGATTTTGAAGTTTTCTTTTTTTTTTTTTAGTGAGAAATCAATTTGTCATGTTATAGGAATGAAATTGTTGCTTCGTGCACTAAGAATTTAGTTCCGAATCTTGACTTTTTTCTTTTTTTTTTAAATATGGGTTTCATACTTAATTTATTTATGGAAAAACCTTTTTTTATACACAAAAAAATATTAAAACACACGTCACCTAATATAACTATCCACTCTCCTTGCTAATCTGGTGGCTTATTATATGAATAAATTCTTAAACGACAAGTATATCGGATACCTTTCCTGTTAAGAAATAAACTTTATCTCCTTCATCATTTTTTTGGCTTTTCAGACATTAAAGGGGTGAAAAATGTATCGTGAAAAGAGCTCATCGCACAAAGTGAAAATTATTTTTCTTATTTTAAGTTGGGATAGATTATATTTATAATTTTTTTATTTATAAATTTTTACAAAATATATTATATATTTATGGAACTGGAAGTACATTCACCTGAAAATATAAACAAAAAATTTATAAATATAAATTTTTGATCAATTACAGTACATTATTTATTAAATATAATATAAAATAATATTTTTATATTTTTTCACGTACCGTTACTTCCATTCTTATCCTTTATTTTTAAATTTTGGCAAAGAATCCACAGAGTTACAAATTATTGACAATTTCGTCGTCTCCTTTAATCATTGCTTAGTCACTGTAACTGAAGGAACACCGAACAAAATGTTACTTTTCCTCAAAAATTTTATTTAAATATAATTTGAACAATGTTATTTTCTAATCTGTCGTGAGGACAAGTTCATTATTCGGTGTAACGAACTCAGTTTACTGAAGTGACACATTTATAGTGGATAACAAGTACCAAGTTAAAAAAAATAGAGTTCTCTACATTGGGTAGGAAACTTGGTTAAAACCAAGTTCGGTGTTCACTATAAACGTGACACGTCAGCAAACGAGTTCGCTACATTGGATAACGAACTTGCCTTGTGACAGATTGAAAAATAACACTATTCAAATGACATTTAGATAAAAAATTTAATAAACAAGTGACATTTTAGTCACTGTTACGAAACTGAAACTGTTCAAGGCCAGAAAGTCCAGAATCGTTGCTTTCTCATTTTCTATGAGAACTATTCTCCAATGTCTATGTTCAACTTTTATATATAGTACTCGTCGCTGAACATCGAACGCTCAACACGAACACCAACCCCAACCCCAACCCCAACCCCAACGTCTCTTTCTCTCTCTACCATCGCGAGGAAAATGGGTGAACCAAACATGAACATGACTCTGTCACCTTCACCTTCATTATCACCATCCACACCTCGATGTTCTCCAAAACTTGTGAAACGAATGCAAGAAGATATCTGTTACCGGTGTCGCCAAAAAGGGCATTGGTCTTGGTATTGTCCTTTGAAGACCCCTGACACCAAAACCCTCTCACCCTCACTCAATCAAAATTCCCCATTTTCCCCCAAAATAATACGGTGCCGTTGTGGCCATGGCTTTTGCGAGGTCAGAACCACACTCAGCGAAAAAAACAGGGGTAGGAAGTACTATGCTTGCCCCATCAAAAGGGTATGTTCAAAATTCTTCCTTTCGTGATTCCCAGTTTTTTTTTTTTTCTCTGTCTCTTGATTTTGTTGGTTTGATTTTTTTGTTTAGGGGGCAAAGTGTAAAGGGTTTGTTAAATGGTGCGATGATCCCGTTGAAGAGAGTGATTTGCAGCCTCCACCGATTAAGTATCCTGAATGTGAATGTGGAGCTGGAGTGTGTAGGAGAGTGAAGGGAACTGATAACACAGATGGGGTTAAATACTATTTTACTTGCCCTGTTAGAGAGGTATGATGTGATGTTCGTTTTCTTGTTGAAATTGAAATGCTTACATCTTGAATTAACGGCTTTTATTTGGTGGGTGTGGCAAGTTGCTGGTTGATTTTGATAGATTTGCACTGTTGAGGACTTCTTTTTTGTTAACACAAGTGTTGTGGACCACTTATGTGGTACCCACTTCCTATCCCCACTACATGGAGCATCTCATTCCACCATTCTCTCCTAACTCCCATCTACTGGCAATAACCACCCACTAGCATTGCATCATGCCATTAAGTCACCTGCAAACTACCTACTAGGGGCACAATCTCCTAGTGCATTCATCTATATATAACCCCTTATAGCTAACAAAGAAGGGGATCTCATAACTCATCTAGGAACTCATCTGATAACTTATCCTGGCCACCATGGCTACAACTTACATATTTGTGCCCAGAGCACATCCTCTCCACCGCAGGTGACTCACACACACACACCTTGTTCATCCCATCGGACTTTGGCCTAAGGTGCAGGATTTCTCATTGCCTGTCATCTTTACCATAAGCTCCGTAGATACAAATACTAGCTATCCTGCTAGACCATTAATGTTCATTCCAGAACAACAAGCGTGCGTGCTTCTGAGTATTTCTATCTATGGTTCTATGCCTTGTGAGTTATTGGTTTTTTATGGGAAGATTTGATGTTTGGTACTAAAAGAGGGATTGTTTTAGTGCCTCTGAACTGCCTGATATGTTCTTGTCATAAAAAAATTACCTGATATGTCCTATTGGAATGGGGAAATTCTCCTTTGATTTTAGCATGCACCAACACTTGTACGTTAATGTACTGAAACTTATGCATGGATGATGTTGACACATGCCAAGCATATTCATTCATTTGCACTATTTGTCTTGCTCTTCAGGGAGGATTAATAAATTGTGGGTCCGGTTGATTGGATTTCCGGGTGATGATGAAGCATGTTGTTATCATGAGTTAAATATCTTATTTATGACAAAGATAGCTGTTAGGAGTATTTTTTTTTTTTAATTTCGTAAATATAGATAGGAATTTAGCTTATTTCTCTGAAAGATTATATAGAAAGTATCATTTCCAATTATCTTGGATTTTATGGATTCCCCATTCTGTAGAATTTATTCTGGCCCACTATGATCTGTTTAATTTTGCTTATATCTAATTAATGTCAAACAGGATCATGGATCTTGTGGTTACCGTGTGGCGGAGGATGAACTACTCAGTAACACAAGCATTGTTTGTATCCAGCAAAGCAATCAAAGAACTCTTCATGATTTTTGGGGGACTGATAATGACCGGGGTAATGATTTGAGTAATAGAGGTGATTTGCTAGCACAGAACAAAAGGATGAGAATCATGGATAATTCTGAGAATCACTCATTAATGACTGTATCTAAGATTTCAGAGGGAGAAGATGCAGCACTAATGGCACTCCATTCAGAATGTGTTGGTTTTCCAGAACATGAGGTTACTGATGATGATCTTGAATTTTCAAACTCAGTATCATGGGAGGCTATTGAGGCAGAAGCATTTCTATTATCTCGTCAGTCAACACCTTCAAGGATCCGTAGTCGACAGAGAGAATTTCAGAGGCACATTTTTGCTGATAGTGATGCTGTTGCTGATACATCATTTGGTACTTTTTTCTTTTTTCTGGTTTTTTATTTGTTTTCCGAAATATATTTATTCCTTTCATGATTCCTTTGTTTTCCTGCTTCCACTTTCGTAGGCAAGTTACATCATTTTGATTTTTTTTATCCCTTGATTCTTTACAAATCCGATCCCAGGTCCTTGCAATCAATTACTTAAAGTAACGCTGTTATTCTTTTAGCCATGGACCAAAGTCATAATGGTTGTACATATTGGAAATACATCTCTTAGACTAGCTTTGTGTCTTTCTCGTTCATCTGCATCAACTCAACATTAAATGTCACCTCAAGTTACAATAAATTTAATTTGAATGTACGAAATTAGATTGTGTTGAAGTTATATATAATACCTTTCCTCTTGATCACAAAAATAAACTTTGACAGTAGTTTAAGCATATTCCCTTCAAAAAAATTATCTTACAGAGAAGCCATGTGTGAATTTCTCTTCATCTTATTGCAGATCCTTGTCCAACGGGTTGGCTAGGTCGCCTTCTTTTCTTCCGTCCAACACAAAGCTTGAAATTCACCCCACCTCAGCCATTTTTCTGCTGTGAGTATGATTTCCTCAGTTTAATGTTTTTATGTCCACTTTGTTTATCATTATTATTCACATTGATTCTGTCTCCCATCTTTACAGGTGTTTTCCCATCCATTAATCCTATAATTGTTCCTAAACAAGCAAGTATTCCTGATGATCCTTGTGAGCGCAACCAGGTTGCTATTAGCAGCCTCGTTCAACATCCCCAACTTTCAACTGGTTACCATACTGAGGTTTCTAGAGATGTAGTTAGTCCCAATAAATCACTAGGCAGTGAAAGAAAGCCAATTTCAAAGGCACAAAGGCTGAGACAAATGGTCTTATTTGCACAGAAGCAGCTTCTCATTGATCTAGAGACATTGGACCCTCATGACCTTGAATCCATGAGAAAGGCAGCAGAGGCCACTTTTGCGATATTAGATAATTTAGAAGTTGATTATAAACAATTTTCTGAACATATATGGGACTTCATCAGTCTTGCATCATCGGTTGCAGAAATGGACCAGTCCATGGAAAATTCCCTTACACTTGAGGAGCACAACAAATGCTTTGAAGAGGAGAAAGTGAGATATGCTTGTGTTCATGAGGATTGTGTTAAGACTGAGACTTTGTTCCAAGTATCTGATGAGCATATACAGTCACTTTGTGAAGAGATATATCAACTTGAGGCCATGCTTCATGTGAAACAAAACCAATTGAAGTCTTGTAAATTGGAGAACTTGAAGATAAAGACTAATCTTGATAATTTAAAAAGAAATATGTTGGAGGCTGAAACAGCCTTAAAGGTTAGAGCCGAGCAAGTAGAGATTACAAGAAAACTTAGGGAAGAGAGACAAGCAAAGCAAATTGCTGCCAAGTCAGCATTGGAGAAGGCCAAACTTGAATTAGAATATTAATTCTTATGTTACCAAAAAAAAAAAAAGAATATTAATTCTCAGTATTTGTGTAGCATATGAACTAGAGTTGTGAGTAGTGTAATTTTAAATTGACCTTCTCTTTTTCCCCTTGCCAATGCAACATGACTCTCACTTTTATATCAAGTGTAATTAATTAGTAGGTTAACATTTGTAGAATATTCTCACTTTTATATCATGGGACTGAGTGGTGGGAGAAGACTTCGGTTCAAATTTCACCAACACCATATGGGGAGGGGCATAAGTACCGTAATCCTTGGACTCACATTCGAACTCTGGATTAGTCCCATAGGCGGCTCAAAGAGTCGAACCCGTGGATATACCGGGGGGTTCTGATTCGCCTCAAAGAGGTAATTAGGATCAGTTACCAAAAAAAAAAGAATATGACTGTCAATAAGGGAAGGAGGTTGTGACTATGATGTGTGGCAAGGGATGCAGATATATGGGCACAACGAAATTAGGATTTTTTGTGATAGTAATGATTCCCAGAATGTGAGCTTTGATTCCAAATTTAAGTTAAGAAAATTGTGTATTTAACATGGGCATGAAAATTTAAATATTACTAATTAAATAAGAAAATATGAAAGAGTAATATTTTAGAATCTATTTACAAATGTATAGAAATCAGTCGTGTTCAAAATTGTGCCCAAAAGTAGGAGCGTTATGGGGCTAGGTTGCACCCCATTTTTTTCGTGACTCACGTATTGTTGACACGTGACACAAAATTTTCAATAGTTCTACCGTAAAACTTCGGACAATAGCATTCCTAAGAAATTTGTTCGATGTCTCAGAGTTGTAATCTTAAGAAATTTGTTCGATGTCTCAGAGTTGTAATCTTCCAAGCCGGTGAAAAGATGCTCTATCTTTTCCGATCAACATTGTAAGGTAAGAAAACTAGCACTTCAATCTGACTTTTTAAGAGGTTTATTGATGGGTTTTTTTAGATAGTTATCCTTTGTGGAACTTATTGGGGGTTATCATTCTTATTTTAGGCATCTTTATTATTATGGTAGTGTGTTGTAAATAATAGTTATTTTCTTATTTATTAATTTATTTGTTATATTGGGCCAAGCCCATTAGGTCAAGTATTAGGTCTTTTATTCACTATAAATAGAGAACTCTTTATACAGATTATTTACAATTCTATAATATATCAGAATACCCTTTTTCAAGTTGGTATTAGAGCTCTCGATTCTGAGAGTTCTGCTTCCGCAAATCACCGTCTTTAAAAACCAAACCCTATTTGCCTCTCGCCGCCACAAAGCCGCCGCCGGGAAAAAATTTTCTGAGGACCTTTTGAACCGTGAGGACCCCTGTTTCACTCCGTTTTTCTTAGATCTATCATTCTACGGAGGTTTCTTTTTCATCAGACGACCGGAACAGCTCAAAAAAAAATACGGTATTATTCACCGGGTACTGTTCACGCGGTACTGTTCAAAAAAAAAATTGGTTTTGTCTCCTCTACCCGGATCTGTGTTTTTCTCTCTGATCTGACGTCGTTTGGGTGTCTGTTGTGTGTTCTTTGGTGCTGTTTTTCACTCTTTCTTATCACTATGGCCAATTTAGAAGATGGTTCTCCATATGTGAATATTCAGCAAAAGGAGTTGGATCAGCTTAAACCTGCTATTGATAATATGTGTAAGCCATCTGACCGTTCTTTGATCTTGTCTGGTAAGAGCATATGTTCTACATCTCTTCTTGCTTCTTGCACTGATTTTAAAAACCTCATGGATTTTGGATTCTGGTGCAACTGATCATATGGCTTGTCGTACTGAGTTTTTTCGTTCTTATCATCCTACTGTTGGTAGTCATACTGTATCCGTAGCTGATGGATCCCATAAATCAGTTATTGGTTCTGGTAACATTCAAATTCAACCTTCCTTGTTTCTTAAAAATGTTCTTTATGTTCCTCAGCTTTCTACTAATCTTATCTCAACTCAAAAACTTACAACTGATTTGAATTGTTCTATCACATTTTTTCTTTCTCATTGTGTTATTCAAGATCTTACCACGAAGAAGACAATTGGAGTTGCTAATGAGCTGGATGGGTTGTATCATCTCCTTCCAGAACATGCTATAAATGATAGCAAAAATCAGTTATTAATGACACGTCATCCTTCTACTGCAGAGTCTATGATTTGGCTCCATCACAAGCGTCTGGGGCATCCACCATTCAGTCTATTGAAGTCTATGTTTCCTTCTCTGTTTCTTAATCAGTCGGTTGAGACCTTTCATTGTGATGTTTGTGAATTTGCAAAACACCATCGAGTGTCATTTCCTGCTAGCACTATTAAAAGCAGCAAACCTTTTTCTCTTATTCATTCTGATGTTTGGGGCCCTTCTAAAGTGCATAGTGTTTCAGGTGCAAGGTGATTTATTTCTTTTATTGAAGATTGTACTCGGGTAACTTGGATATTCTTGATGAAAGACAAGTCTGAAGTACCAGAGATATTTATTCGGTTTCATCACATGGTTGAAACTCAGTTTGGTAAATGCATTAAAAGACTAAGATCTGATAATGGTACTGAGTATGTCAACCAACGCCTGTCATAATTCATTTCAGACAGAGGTATGATTCATGAGCTCACATGTGTTGATACCCCTCAACAAAACGGGGTTGTTGAAAGAAAAATCGTCACCTCTTTGAAGTTGCTAGAGCACTACTTTTCCAGACATATGTTCCTAGTTCTTATTGGGGAGAAGTCGTGTTAGCTGCAACCTTTTTGATCAACCGTTTACCTTCACGGGTCCTTAACAATACCATTCATATTCATTCCATGACTTCCTTTTTTCCTTATGTTCCCATATTGCAGAGCCTGCCACCAAGAGTGTTTGGATGTGTTGCCTTTGTCCATGTTCATAAACAACATCGGAGTAAGTTAGATCCTAGGGCTCTTAAGTGTGTCTTCCTTGGTTATACCCCTTTTAAAAAGGATACAAGTGTTATCATCCACCAAGTCGAAATTTTTTTGTTTCTATGGATGTCACCTTTCAAGAATCTGAATCTTATTTCCCGGGTCTTCATCTTCAGGGGGAGAACAGTGCTTCAGAAGACTCATCTCCTTCCTTCTTTGAGTTTGGAACAGTCTTGTCTACTCCTACACCTCTTCCTAGTGTGTCTGCTCCTGGTGTGTCAGAACCTTCAAATACACCTGAGATACGAAAGATTTTGACACCTGAATTGGTATATCAGAGGAGGAAACAACCCATACTGTCTCACCAGCAACCTCAATCGTCTGAACCACTGGTAAGTCCTGAATCTCCTGTTTCTTCTGAATCTCTTGTTTCTGATTCTAATATTATTGCCTCTCATGATTTGTCTGTTTCTTCTGATATCTCTAATGACTTACCCATTGCTTCTGCTTCTGATGACTTACCTATTGCCCTAAGAAATGGGAAAAGATCTTGTACCAAGAAATCTTGTTCCTTCTGTTCCTCTTGTACTCAATATTCTATCTCCCATTTTGTTTCTTCTACTAATCTTTATGTGCAGCACAAAAGCTTTGTTTCAGCACTAGATTCTATTTCAATCCCAAAATCATTACATGAAGCATTGAAATATGGGAATTGGGCTCAAGCCATGCAAGAGGAGATGAATGCGTTGGAGAAAAATAAAACATGGGAGGTTATTGATAGACCCAATGGAAAGAAAGCAGCAGGGTGCAGATGAGTTTATGCCCTGAAGTATAATTCTGATGGCACTCTTGAGAGATATAAAGCTCTATTAGTCGCCAAAGGTTACACTCAGACCTATGGCATTGATTATGAAGAAAACTTTGCTCCAGTTGCAAAGATGAATACGGTGAGTCTTGTTGTCCCTTGCTGCTCATTACATTTGGGATATAAATCAATTTGATGTGAAAAATGTTTTCCTTAATGGTGAGTTGGAAGAAGAAGTCTACATGGAAATCCCTCCTGGTTTTGATTCTGTGAATGGAGAAAATAAAGTTTGTAGATTAAAAAAGGCCTTGTATGGATTGAAGTAGTCACCTCGTGCCTGATTTGGAAGATTTACTAAGGTTATGATGACCTTAGGATACAAACAAAGTCAAGAAGATCACACTCTTTTCTTTAAGCACTCCCAAGATGGGAAGCTCATTGTGCTCCATGTATATGTTGATGATATTATTATCACAGGTGATGATTTTGTGGAGAGACATATTCTGCAAACAAGACTAGCATCTGAGTTTGAAATTAAAGACCTTGGAAAACAGAGATATCTCCTAGGGATAGAAGTAGCTCATTCTAAAAAAAGAATTTTTATCAGCTAGAGGAAATATGTTCTTGATCTTCTCAAAGAAGCAGGAAAGCTCGGGTGTAAACCCTCTAATACTCCTATTGAGTAGAATCATAAGATAGGCTATGAAGAGGAGAATCCTCCAGTTGATAAAGGACAATATCAACGGCTAGTTGAGAAATTGATATATCTGGCTCATACTAGACCAGACTTAACTTATGTTGTTAGTGTTGTCAGTCAGTTTATGCATGATCCAAAGGAGAAACACATGCAGACAGTGAAGAAAATTCTTCAGTATCTTAAAGCTACTCCTGGTAAAGGACTGTTATTCCTACGTAATGGAGATCTTTCTTTAGAAGTCTACACTGATGCTGATTATGCTGGATCTGTGACTGACTGTCGTTCTACCACTGGTTATTGTATGTTTCTTTGTGGTAACTTGGTGACGTAGAGAAGTAAGAAACAAGATGTGGTTGTCAGATCAAGTGCAGAGGCTGAATTTCAAGCTATGGCTCAAGGTATCTATGAGTTACTGTGGCTAAAAATTGTACTTGATGATCTCAAAATAAAATGTGAGAGACCTATGAAGTTGCTATGTGATAATAAGTCCGCTATTTGTATAGCTCATAATCCAGTTCAACATGATCGGACTAAACATATTGATAGCGGGTTGATTACCACTCCATATATTCCCACTGGACGTCAATTAGCTGATGTGTTGGCAAAGGAACTTCCTTCAGACAGATTTCAAGAGCTTACTAGCAAGCTGGGAATGATAAATATCTATTCCTCAGCTTGAGGGGGAGTGTTGTAAATAATAGTTATTTTCTTATTTATTAATTTATTTGTTGTATTGGGCCAATCCCATTAGGTCAAATATTAGGTCTTTTATTCTCTATAAATAGAGAACCCTGGCAAAAAAATTTATTTATTGCAATTTAATTAAATAATTACGCATTTATTGCAGTTTGGAGAGTATTTACAGATGTATTGCACAATGTGACGCCCCATTGAGGTGTCTCTCATGAAGGAGAAGACGCCCAAAAGGGGCGTCACATTGTGCAATACTATAAATACCCCCACTTTCCTTTTCACTCCTCACTCATTCACCACTCTCTAACCTCTCTAACCACGGTTCTTAGTGAAGCTCTGCCGACTTAGGTAAGGTCGTAATACCTCCTCTGTATACGTTTAAATTACGGTGGTAGTTAGTAACGCATGTTAGGATTGATCGTATATAGACTGAGAACATTAGGATAGTCACTTAGAAATTTTGTGCAATGCTATGAATGTTGTAATGATACTTCCCTTTTTTTGTTACGTAGTTCATATTATTAATATTTAATTATGCATTAGGGTTCAGCGTATTAATTAGTGATTTAGTAAATAGTGATAGCGACTTCGTAAATTTTGTATGTATGATGTTATTAATGCGGGAGTTTATTCATAATTTTGTAGTCATTTAGGTGTGATGATTAGTACATATTTATGAAGTTATTAGTGACCTAGGGTTAAGTATTCTGTAAGTATTATATTACTTTTGTCCAAAGTATTTTTATTATTTAATTACAAATAAATTATTGTATCGTGTCAATGAGTATACCTAAATTCTTTAACATCCGCTTTAAACCTTCATTCTGAAACTTTTGATTGAAGTTGCTTGCAATATGACGATTACAAAAGACGTGCTATGCATTTGGTGGCTGCCAATTAGGGTTATTCTCCACAGCAGATACTATGCTACGATGCCGATCGGAGATCAAACATATGTTTGACATGTCAGTAACATGAGCACGAATATTAACAAGAAAATAGTTCCATGCATCCAAGGTCTTGCCTTCAACGATGGCAAAAGCAATCGGTAAACATTCATCATTACCATCTTGGGCTGTGGCCACCAACAATTTGCCTTTGTACTTCCCATATAAATGTGTTCCATCAATTTGAATGACGGGTTTGGCAAATTTGAACGCCTCACAACACTGTCTAAACGTCCAAAATATGCGATGAAACACCTTCTTTCCAGTAACTAAGCTCTGCTCTGCATAAAGATCATTTGTTTGGATATTATAAAATGAACCTGGAGAAAAGCGCAGCATGTATTCGCACCACTTTGGCAAAAAAGCGTACGATTCCTCCCAATCACCGTACATAATTGCGATCGCTTTCTGCTTCGCATACCACGCCTTTCTGTAGGAAACTTTAAAGCCATATTTAGCGGTTATCCTTTCTTTCACCAAAGAGATTGACACAGATGGTTCTTCCTTTATCATTCCTGCATTGAAGAGGACCCAGACTCGATAATAGCTCACAAATTTAATTACACAGCAGTACGTAAACGTTGACATGTCATTACGGTAAATAAATACGTACCTATGACGAGATCTGCAATAACGTCCGTATCGAGTTGTCTATGTCCCTGCGAAATGTGCTCCTTCAAACAATTGTGTTTTCCACCCCATCTCGTAATCATCCAATTTTCATCAAACACTGGTTTCATGGCCCTAACGCGCCACGGGCAACCCTTATCATACGCACAACATTTCATGGATAACTTTGCAGGCGTGCTCTCAATTACAATTGCTTCTTGATGCTCCCTAATGAGGAGGTTCTTAAGTGCCATTTGGACATCTTTTTTTGTTGCAAATTCTTGATTGACAAATAAATTGTCACCCAGTTGCCACGAACCTTGTATTGAACCCGATTTTGAGACCGTACCATCAGTGCAAGATTCTTGTTCGCTCTGATAACTCCAATCAATGTAGGAATAATGCGGAATTCCTTGCCAAAAAGGAATAACAGCTTCGTCACCTGCAACTGCGGATTGTAACTTATTAATACAAACTTCCTAATTCAGGTATTAAATCAGGTATGTACTCAACTATATACACATTATTTCAATTACCTTCATGATGAATCCCTAATGGGGCAGACGCAACGTCATGCAACTGCGTCATTTGCGCGACCACCGGTTGATGGAATATTGGGATTTGAGACGCACCCATTTCGGCACCTTCATCTCCTTCGGAAGCACTAGCATCCTCCGCCAGAAGACGTTCTTCCATTGCGATATTTTCATCATCGTCGTCGTCGTGCATTTCCCAAGTCGGATCATTTTCATCTCCCTCAGAATAGTTACCAACTGGAGACGCATGAGCGGCAGACAAAGATGAAAGACAGACAGAATTTAAATCAACTGACCTCACCGGTAAGGGAACATTCTCGGGTGCGGCAATGTCGACATACAACTCCATAAAATCTGTCCTTGACTGGTTGAAAAATTCTTCCATTGTCATCTCCAGGTCTTCATCGTCAACCACTTGCTAACTAATGTATTTATCACATTGCCATAATCTTGTCGTGATCTGAGTGATACATTGGTTGCTTTGAAGACTTAGCTTCTGCCGAATTTTCTGATGCAGTTCGCCATTGGTTGCATTGCGTTCGATACGTGTCGGCCTTTTTTCACCTTCAAAGATGACACCTCGTCGACCTTCTACCTTCCTACCATTGTAATATAACACAACACAAACAAAATTAGGACGTAAGCTCATTCTTAAATAGTAGAAATAAAATTCAAATACAAAGGAGATAGATATGAAGAGTGAGAGAAGAAAAGGTGTGAAGAGAGAGAAGATGTGTGAAGAGTGAATGGAGGGGTGGGGGGATTAAATAAGCTACACAATGTGACGCCACATTTGGGCGTCACACGTGACGCCCCAATTGGGCGTCTCCCAATTGGGGCGTCACATGTGACGCCCAAATGTGGCGTCACATTGTGCATTAAATCCGTAAAAATTTCAAAAACTGTCATATATGTGTAATTATTTTATTAAATTGCAATAAATAAATTTTTTTGCCTATTTTAGAAACCAAAATTAATGGTTTTGTTTTTTATTCGACATGGTTTTGCTCAATATGCACTAACTCCAACTTTAGGTGGTGTCAACTAGTTTTTGGTTCAATAGCATCTGTTCGTCTTTCTAGTGAACCTTGGCCTCATTTCCATTAATTCAAGAACAAAATAATATGTCAAGCTTATATAGGATGACTTCTCATTTACCAAGATACATGTATACAAACACAATATAAAGGGGGCAATGAGTTATCGTAGATCCCATTTGTGTTCATTAAGGCATAAACATTAATCAATTAATTAGTCCTCCGTAGCTTCCTCAACAAGATCACCAATTTGAATAGTAATGCATTTGTAACTTAAAAACAATAATCCGGAATTGACATGCCACACATAAATAAAATAGGGAACAGACAAATACAGTCTTCAATTACTATAAGGCTGAAAGTCAATACATTACAATAGATCCAAGGCTGTCCAGAGTACTTAAATTTCAATTACATTGTTCCTAGTCACCCTGACTATATACAAGTTTACAAGATTCTGGGGTGGAAAGAATTCGACAAACAACAATTAAAAAAAAACTGTACGAAGAAAGTTATGACAAATTCTGGGTTTATTTGTCGGAGTTTTGTTATGTTTCAAAAATCCACACCTAGGAAAGTGATGAACCTCCAACCTGGCTCCGAACCATCCGATTTTACAAGTAATGGGACATTTTCACCTTTGATTGTGTTTGAAAACTTCAAGTAAAAGGTCACAGTGTGCGTTCCCATTTTGTACAAAAAATTTATTACGGATAACTAGAAGCACTAATTTGAAAGATGATATTATGATATATTATAGAATTGTAAATAGGGATAGGATATTGTGACACCCAAGTTATGTTACACTCGTGTGACACCCAGTCAATCTCACCGTTAGATTGCTTATGTTGATCCAACGGTTATATTTATTTCCATATTTGTATGGTCATGATTTCCCAAATTTAGAGTGAAAGCATTAAATATGGGAAATCATAACCATACAAAGGTAGAAATAAATATAAAATATTAAATTTGAAAAATCATGATCATACAAAGATAAAAATAAATATAACCGACGGATCAACATAAGCGATCTAACGGTGAGATTGACTGGGTGTTACATGAGTGTAACATAACTTGGGTGTCACAATATCCTATCCCTTGTAAATAATCAATAATTTGTGCAATACATCTGTAAATACTCCCCAAACTGCAATAAATACGTAATTATTTAATTAAATTGCAATAAATAAATTTTTTTGCCTTCTAAAAAATCATACAACTATTTGGGCTAAAACTTTGTTATGAACTAGGAGATTGGGCTACTAAACAACTCAATTTGCATTTTTCACTACACGGCAAATTCTAGTTGGACAAAAATATTTCTATCTTAAAATTTTTCATTCTCTCCCCCTCTAATAATTCATTACTGCAACAATCTTATCCCAAAATTGGAGCATATTTTGGTGCTAGGAAACTCCCTTACCAAAAACAGAAGAAAACAAAAAGAATACGAGGGAATAACCATAAAATTAAGGAGTGAAATAACCATAAAAATAAGGTAGTGCAAATAAATTATTTTTTTATTATATTTGATAATCAGTACTCTTTTATTTGAGTTCATCTACCACCGACTCCAATTAATTTGGGATAAAAGTGCTGTTGATATTAATGTTAATTTGATAATCGGTACTCGGTAATGCTAAAAATATTCTCCTAAAATTAACGTGAAACTTTAAAAAAAATTGACGATAAACACATCTTACAGCCACCATCTAACATCACTCTCCACATTAGGATAAGGACCTTTAGCTATTTGTATTCTGTCACACGCTTGCATTCTCATTGAGCTCTAGCACTTTACAGATGGGAGTATGGGACACTAGTCACACTACCATCATCTGTCCACCGTATTCACGGTGAAAATCATAAGTGGCGTAGTCATATTGAAACCAGCAAGTGACTTGGTATTAGCTGATTTCCAAAATCAAAAACTTTTTTTATTTTCAGTGACCGTAAATAGTTTGCTTCCTTCGTAATTGTTAGTTTTGGCACTAACTTCCTCTATAATTGGCTGATTTTTGGAATTAACTTTCCAACTTTTTTTTGGCTCCACCACCTTCAACCATCCTTCGCACACCTTCAACCAACACCTTGAAGCCCTGCTTCGCGTTATACCTATTATCCTCCCTGTCAGTTTATACAATAACCTATATATCCCATTTATCCCCGGTTAAGAAAATTTATTGGGTGCTACTGCTGTAAGTACGGTGCATCATCTACTCAAATTGAAAAATTTTATTCTCATTTGAATCCAAATATTTTCTCTTATTTCCCAACAAATTCAAAAATTTACTTTTTTTTATCAAGTTGTATGATACATCTATTATACCAAAGATCCACCTCCTAGTTAAACATTCAGTATAGACTATATCAGCATAAATCAATTTTTTAAAAAAACTAAATCAAGTGTTTTAAAACGGAGAACAACATCAACCTTCCAATATCAAGTTATTACAGATAATTAAGGAACAACAGAATCTAATTTGATAAAGCTAAAAAAAAATTACAATGAGTCCATTCCGATGTTTTTTTTTTCCTTCAAAAAAGTTGCTTTTTCTTAAAAAAAAAAAATTCATTCTCATACCTACAAAATGTTTGAATTTCTATTTTTAAAAAAAGAAGTAAAAAAAAAAAAAGCGCTAAAATTCTATTCTTTTTTAGCTAAAATTTTTGATTTAAAAAAAATAAAAAAACTCAAAAGCCAAATATTTTTCCAAAACCCAAATTTATCCAAATCCCAACCAATCTCATCTCTTCTGCCATCACCATTTGCTACTATCATTACCACTGTTATTATCACCACCTTCACCACCTCCTTCGTCATCGCCCTCACGGCGGCCACTACTACCACCACCACAACTCCAATCAATACGACTTCTATCCTTGCCGTCACTACCACTACAACACTATTGTTGCTAGCCACCACCTCTACAGACATCACTACCATCCATCACCATCCCACCTCCACTACCACCATCCCGCTATTGCCAGTGCCACCATGCATCATCACCTCTGCCACAACCAAATTTGCTTCCATAATTTATTATCGTATGTTCTTCACAATAATTTTTTTACATAAAGTACATTTTAATTTAACATTCAAATAATATATTTAGTTGAAAGTCTTTTTTCATACATTATAACTAAATACAAAATAGTTTTAGCATTTAAAAGATGTGATTAATATTTTTCATATTATAGGAGATAATTTTATATCTTACAAATACATAAAGTGTGTGGGGCCCATATGAAAAAAAAGAAAAAAAAAATATGAGTCCCATATATTTTTATATGTGTATAGGGTGTGTAGGAAAAAAATAAAGTGATTAATATTTTTACATGTAAACCCCATCGTTTTAACTAGGGTGACGAATATATACTTGTTGGACATGGGCAGGAGACAAAGACAAGATGTACTGGTCAAAGATTCCCACCTGTGAAACACGGACACGTGTTTTTTGAGAAAAAATGCGTGTCCGACACGTGTCAGACACGGACACGTTAGGACACGTTCGGACACGCGTCCGACACGTGGTCAACTTTTTGGGACACGTTGACTAGGGGGACACGCGATTTTGACCGAATCCGACACGCGATCAACGTATTTGGACACGCTTTGATATTTTTTGTAAAAATAAAAAAAATTACAATTTAAAAATAAAAATAAAAATATTTAATAAAAAATAAAAAGTTTAGAACCCTTTTGTCTTCGGTCTTCGTCACGACGCTGCGGCTACTCTTCTTCGTCACTTACATGTTTTTCCATGGCTGAAATCGATGCCTCTGGCGCTGGAGTACAGGCCGAGCGTGGCGGAGTTCCAAGATCCAATTGGTTACATTTTCAAGATCGAGAAGGAAGCTTCAAACTACGGCATCTGCAAAATCATTCCACCGTTTCTACCTTCTTCAAAGAAAACCGCCATCGCCCAACCTGATACATTCACCACTCGTGTTATTCGTGCTGAAGGAATCCCAATGTTCTTCTGAAATGACTTGTGAAGTGCACTCAAGTGGAAAAAGGGAATCTTGGCCAAGCTATTCAAATTAGATTGGACCTTTTTTTTTTTTTTATACCGATTGGACCTTTTTCTAACTCAGTTTCAGTTTCGCTTTTTTTGTGTGCATATATGTATTAAATGTTCCGTCTCCCAATGTTCAGCTTTTAGTTTCGTTTTAGTTTTAGTTTCGCTTTTTAGTTCTGCTGGATATATTGAGGATAAATTAAATAAGAGGTTAATGTATTTGTAGGATATTCCAAACACATAAATTCAATTTATTTTGCTCCTTTTGAATATTTAATTAATTACGTGACTTATTATGAGTTGTTATATGTATTAAATATAAACTATATTATATATATTAAAAATATTATTTAATATCAAAACGTGTCCCAGCGTGTCGAAATTTAACATTTTTTAAAATTAACGTGTCGGAGTGTCGTGTAATGTCGTGTCTCGTGTCACGTGTCCGTGTCCGTGCATCATAGATTCCCACTAGGTTGCAGCAAAGGTCTAGCGTTGCAATGCAACGAAACAGGACTGAAGTAATTTGGACTGAGTTCAAAGTTTATTATTTTATAACAGTTCAAAGTTTATTTATGGGGTTTACATCTCTCAAAGGTCTAGCTTTTGGGGTGGTGTATCCCAAGTTCTTTACATGTATCAGAGCCTCGCCGCCCCCACTTTCTCTTGTGGCGTTTCTTAGCACAGGTAGGCTGGGTCTGTTGCATTGTCCACTCTTCAAGCCTAATGGGCTCTTGTATGAGGGGCGTGTTGCGATATATAGTCCCACATTGGTTGTATGTGCAACTAATGTGAAGTTTATAAGGCCTTGGACACTCTCACCCTTTGAGCTAGCTTTTGGGGTGGTGTATCCCAAAGTTCTTTACATGGTATTAGAGCTTGAGGTTCGATCCTCACCGCCCCCACTTTAAAGTGGAAGCACAAAAAAGGTAAACCAAAGATTGAGCCTGTTGCATAATCCACGCTTCAAGCCAAGAGGGCTCTTGCGTGAGGGGGCGTGATAATCCACGCTTCAAGCCAAGAGGGCTCTTGCGTGAGGGGGCGTGTTGAGATATATAGTCTCACATGGGTTGAAGAGCAACTAATGTGGAGTTTATAAGGCCTTGGGCACTTTCACCCTTTGAGCTAACTTTTGGGGTGGTGTATCGTAAGGTTCTTTACAAATTTCCTACACACACAATATTCTGTGAGACCATGTTTTGAAAAAAAAAAAAAAATTACTGCACGCAAAACGAATCTCTATAACATAACACAATCATCTTTTCTACAACATAACTCTTATAAAACCATCTATTATTTATTTATATTTTGTTTGTCTCTCCGTGTTCTTCAATTCTTTACATCGTCTGGACTCACTGCTGAGCAACATTATTTATCACGTGCAATTGTTTGAGTGAGAGTGAGAAGAGGAGGATTATGTCTGAAATGAAACAGACACACTCCATTCACCCCCATCATCATCACTGAACAAACGAATGGAAAGTGACACATGCTTCCGGTGCCACCAGCAAGGGCACTGGGCTTGGTATTGCCCACTCAACTCCTCAAACACTAGACCCCTCTCACCCTTACCCAGTAACGGTTCTCATTCCCCCAAGATATGTGAGAAGCAGAGGAAAATGTCTGAAACAGACACGTTCCACCCACACTCATCGTCATCACAGTACAAAGGAATGGAAAGTGACACATGCTTCCGCTGCCACCAGAAAGGGCACTGGGCTAGTTATTGCCCACTCAACTCATCCAATACCAGACCCCTCTCACCCTTACCCAGCAACGATTCTCATTCCCCCAAGATATGGTGCCGTTGCGGCCATGGCTTCTGCGAAGTGAAAACCGCACAAAACGACAGAAATAGGGGCAGGAAGTACTATGCCTGCCCCATCAAAGGGGTATGCTTCTAACACCTTCAAGTTTCTTCCTTTCTTCATTCCCAGTTTTTTTTTTTTTTTTTTTCTTTGATAAAGCTTTTTTCTTGGTTATTTTAGGGGAAAACATGTAAAGACTTTGTTAAATGGTGCGATGATCCTATCAATGAGAGCGATTTGCAGCCTCCCAAGTTTAAGTATCCTGTGTGTGAATGCAAAGCTGGAGTTTGTCGAAGGGTGGTGAAGGCAACAGAGAGCACTGATGCGGTTAAATACTATTTTACTTGCCCCATTAGAGAGGTATAATGTGATGTTCGTTTTCTTATTGAAATTGAAATACTTACCTTGTGTTAACAGTGGGAATGGCAAGTTGTTGCATGATTTTGATAGCATTGTGCAGTTTAGGGTTCTTGTATTTATTAGTGTGGAGTCAACATAATCGTGTGTGCTTTTGGGTAATTTCTTTGGCTTTATTAGTTTTCTAAGGAAAGTTTCGATGTTTGGTAAAAACAAATGGATCATTTTAGTTCCTCTATTGGAATGGTGAGATTCTCCACTACTTTTAGCATACACCAACGTAGCTCCACTTTTACCTCCTCCTTTTTTAGCACTGGAGCTACACTTTACATTTATGTGGGGGGGAATGTGGTAATAAATAATACATGAGTATTTACCAGATTTCCAAATTTTGTGTCTCTCTCTCTTCATAAATATTCACAAATTTTAATAGCACCCCACATATTTAATGTCAATGAAGAAAGAGAGACAAAATTTTCACTGGGTAAGGTCGTGAGAAATTTTAACATGGAAGGATCTATTTCTGTGTTGGTATATAGTTAGTATCATTTTTGTTTATCTTGGATTTTATTGATTTCCCGTTCTCTAGAATTTATTTTGGTCGTCCATGATATATTTATTTTTGCTTTTATCTAATTAATAGTTTAATATCAAACAGAACCATGGATCTTGTGGTTACCTTGTGTGGGAGGATGAGCTGCTGGATAATGAAAGCATTGTTCCGATCCAACAAAGCAGTCAAAGAACTCTGAATGAGTTTCGGGAATGCTACCAAAACGATAAAACTGTTAATCACTTGGGTAAGGGAGGTGATTTGCTAGTAGAGCATTCGAAAAGGATGAGAATCATGGACAATTCTGAGAATCTCTCATTGATGGCTGATTCTGAGCTTTCAGCAAGAGAAGATGCAGCACTAAAGGAACCCCTTTCTAAACGTGTTGGTTTTCCAACATTTGAGGTTACTGCTGATTTTCAGGATCTAGATGTTGCTAACTCACTGTCATGGGATGCTATTGTGGATGAAACATTGCTATTATCTCGTTTATCAACACCTTCAAGGATCAGTTGTCGACAGAATATGTTTCAGAGGCACATTTTTGCTGGTGCTGTTTCTGGTTTTCTATTCGTTTTCAGAAATCTATTTCTTCCTTTCACATTTCCATTTATTTTGCTGCTCCCACTTCAAGAGCCAAGAAACATCATTTAGAGTTTAGTTTTTCCTTAATTCTTTACAAATCTAATCCTATCCCAGTTCCTTGCAATCAATTGCTTATAGTTGTGGTTTTATTTTTTTTAGCCTTGGACCAAGGTCAAAGTGGTTGTACATATGGGAAAGACATCTCTTAGATTTGCTACGTGCCTTTCTTGTTATTCTGCATCAACTAAACATCAAATGTCATCTCAAGTGACAATCAATTTATTTTGGATATATGGAATTTGATTTCCTTCAAGTTATATATGTTACCCTTATCACGTGTTCTCTTAGAATTTTTTATGTGAAATTCAGAGAAGCAATGTATGGAATTCTCTTGATCCAATTGCAGGTCCTTATCCCATTGGTTGGTTAGGTCGCCTTATCTTCTTCCATCCAACACACAGCTTGAAATTCCCTACACCACAGCCGTTTTTATGTTGTGAGTATGATTTCCTCAATTTTATATATATGTATCCCCGTAGTTTTTTTCATAATATTCACATTGATTCTGTCTCCCATCTTTACAGGTGTTTTCCCATCCTTTAATCCTATAACTGTTCCTAAACAGGAAAGTATTCCTGATGGTCCTTGTGAGCGCAACCAGGTTGCTATTAGCAGCCTCATTCAACATCCCCAACTTTCAACTGGTTGCCATACTGAGGTTTCTAGAGATGCAGTTAGTACCAATAAATCACTAGGCAGTGAAAGAAAGCCAATATCAATGGCACAAAGGCTGAGACAAATGGTCTTATTTGCACAGAAGCAGCTTCTCATTGAGCTAGAGACATTGGTCCCTCATGAGCTTGAATCCATGAGAAAGGCAGCAGAGGACACTTTTGCTATATTAGATAATTTAAAAGTTGATTATAAACAATTTTCTGAATATATCTGGGACTTTATCAATCTTGCATCATCGGTTGCAGAAATGGACAAGTCCATGGAAAATTCCCTTACTCTTGAGGAGCACAATAAATGCTTTGAAGAGGAGAAAGTGAGATATGCTTGCATTCATGATGACTGTGTCAAGACTGAGACTTTGTTCCAAGTATCTGATGAGCATATACAATCACTTTGTGAAGAGGTCTCTCACCTTGAGGCCATGCTCCATGTGAAACAAAGCCAATTGAAGTCTTGTAGATTGGAGAACTTGAAGATAATGACAAATCTTGATAATTTAAAAAGAAATATGTTGGAGGCTGAAACAGCCTTAAAGGTTAGAGCTGAGCAAGTAAAGATTACAAGGAAATTTAGGGAAGAGAGACAAGCAAAGCAAATTGCAGCCAAGTCAGCATTGGAGAAGGCCAAACTTGAATTAGAATATTAGTTCTCAATATTTGTGTAGCATATGAACTAGAGTTGTGAGTAGTGTAAATTTAAATGTCCTTCTCCTTTTCCCCTTGCCCATGCAAGAACACTCTCACTTTTGTATCATGTGTAATTAATTAGTAGGTTAATGTTTGTAGAATATTATCCAATCTCTGTGTTTCTAGAATATGATACCGGAATGACTGTCAATAGGGGAAGGAGAAAATTATTTTCAGTGATACAGGAATATTGAGCACTACTTATATTTTTTATTAAATATGAAAAAAGTAATATAATTATACTATCCCGTCTTTATGGTTTTTTTCTTTCATTCTCCTTTTTTTCCCTTTTTGATAAAGGAGTAGGTTTTTATGTAGCATTTTGTGACTATAACGCGTGACAAGGGAGGGCTAGGTTATATTTACAAGCTTTTTGTTTACAAACTCTTACAAATTATATCATATACTATGTATAGTACATAATATAGTGTAGTTTGTAAGAATTTGTAAATAAAAAATTCATAAATATAAAACATACAAAAGGTTAAAATATATAAAGAGATTATTGATTTTAAAGGATAAACTCAAATCTTAAAAAATAATTGGAAAAATAATAGTTACATATAATCATGTGCAACTTGATTAATTTCTTAGGTTCTGTTTGGATTTATTACAAAGTTTGTTTGGATATATACTTTAAAAAAAAAAAAAAAAAAGTCGCAATTTTTTTTTTTAAACTAAAAATTTAGCTTCTTAAAAAAGCAAAAATGAAAAGGCAAATTTTTTTTAAAAATCCAAATATTTTTATTTTTAAATTTAAATATTTAGTTTTTTTTAAAAAAAAAAAATTATTTCTTTTACTTGCCTATCCAAACGATCCCGTAAAATGAGGATTATTGATACTCGGAGGAAAAAAAAATGGAAGAGGGGGAGAGAGACAAAAACAGAGGCTGACAACGAAAGTACTTCCCGATTAACATATTACGTAAGCAGCACCGATAAAAGTTACTGTTGACATTTATAAAAGAAGCAAAAAGAAACTAACGAGAATGAGTAATCATAGTTACATTATAAGGGGAACACTAATAACAACAGTGGCATGATAATTTGGTTTTGAAATTTAAACTATAGGTTAATACAATTTTTATGCTTGTGAACCTTCTTGGTTTAGTTTGAATTAATGTAACAAAAAGAGAACTATAAAATCCACTACTTTGAAATTAGTATTTTCATATTCAAAAGGTATATTTGGAATTATAATTTTGTTTATATTAATTTTTTTGAAAATTTATTAATAAGAACTAAATTGATTTTCAATTTTTTTTTATTCAAATTGTGTGTATATAAAAATTCATTCAAAGTTTCCGACTAGGAAGAAGGTTGTCCAAACCTATGGACTATGATACACGGACATGTGACATGGGACACGACACGACACGACAACACGTTAATTCTAAAAAAAGTCATATTTGAACACGTTGGACACGTTTTGATATTAAATAAAATTTTTAATATATATAATATAATTTACATTTAATACATATAGCAACTTATAATAACTCATACTAATCAAATATTCAAATTTCATAACATAAATATTAAAAAAAATGTAGATTGTAGACAATACATGTAACATCAAACCTACATTAAGTGAAATTCCTAACTTAAAGCTGCATATGTTGAATAGATACTATAAATATCCACGAACAGGGCAAAAATTGCTTGGGTCGCCTTATGCATAACTTACAAAGAATAAAGAATAAAGTCCTCTGCCTAAATGCTTCCCAGATGCACCACAAGAGTTACTAGCTGAAAGTTGTTTAGGATAAAAGTTAATAAAAAAAAATACCCAAGCATTAATTCAGTCCACCCCCACTGTTACCACAAACTAAGTAACAACAAAGAGAGTTATGTCGTTCAAAAAAAAAAACCCAAGCAATAATTATGTCATTTAATAAAAAAAATCAGTTCCAAAACAGAATATACCCCATTATAATATTACCTACTCACAAGAGGAACCATAATATTCAAAATAGGAAGAGAAGATTTCAGGGTACCAGTCTCAGTTTCTTGGGGTACCTCTTAAAAGCTTCAATTTCAGAGTTTATTGTTCTTTCAAAGAGACTCAAGAAGAAATCAACCTCCACCTGCAGCATCATCACAAATCAAAACTGAGCAAAACCAACAATTAAAACAATAGCGAAGGTAATCTTCAAAGGAAAAGACATGAACGACCTTTTGGGCGAACCAAGTTATCAGTGGAAAAGGCGAAAATGGCGAACAGAAACCATACGTTCCTCTTGTGAGAAAGGAATAAAGGATAGGGTTTCAGTTCCAGAATTTTTAAATTTTATTAAATATTTTTTATTTTTTAATTGTAATTTTATTTTATTTTTTACAAAAAAAATGTAAAACGTGTCCCAAAACGTGTCCACATACGTTGACCACGTGTCCGATACGGACAAATTCACGTGTCCCACTAATCAACGTGTCCCAAAAAGTCAACTGTGTGTCGAACGCGTGTCCTAACATGTCCGTGTCGGACACACATTTTTCCCCAAAATTGCGTGTCTGTGTCTCAGAGCCTATGGACGGAACCTATATATGCTTACTTGTCTATCATGCAGTTAAAATTGAAATTTTATATAAAATCAGAAGGAGATAAAAAATCATAAAACATAAAATCATAACGTAAAAAAATTGTAAAAACGTAAAAGTGTTTGTAATATTAATAAAATTGTTTTGATAAAAAAAATCGTAAAATCATAAAATCGTAACGATAAATCAAAATTTAAACTAACATGTTCCTTAGCATTGTGCCACACGCAATCAGTGTCTACAGAATTTCAGCTTTGGATAATCCCGCACTCTTCCAACTGCCGCAAAACTTATAAAAGGGCTGTCAAAGTGCATTGGAGGACCCTTATTCACACTCTTAAGCACAAAACCTCCTTTACAATCGAGAATATTACTAATCACTTATCAGGTGTTCACGCATGCACACTCCCATTTTTACCATTGGTCCAAATTTTACCAGATATCTCTTCCAAAACATCCATCGATTGGACATTTTTGTTCAACTAGATTCAATAGATTGTTTAGATGGGCTGTAATTGCTTATTTTAAAAGTTTTTTTTTTTATAAAAATTAAAATTATTTTGATTTAAAAAAAATATTTGGTTTTAATTTATAATTTTTTTATAAGCTAAAATTTTTAACTTAAAAAAAGTAGGGTTTTAACTTCTTCTTCTTTTTGACTTCTAAAAATATTTGAATTGACATTTTCCTTTTATTAATTCACCCATCTCATTTATTGTTAGGAAGGATAATAAAATATTTTTAAAACAAATGAATTTCATGTTTTTAGGAATTTCAAATATGAAAATTCAAGTTCAAATTAATTCAAATCTTATTTTTTTTTTAATGATTTACAAACACGAGTTGATTTATAAATTAAATCTAGTTAATTCCACGTTTTTATCATTCCGAACAAAATTATGTAGTAAACTGTACCTTAATGATTGTTTTGACTTATTAAAGCGCAGTTGTATTCACCAACTTATTAGCCTTTGTGGAAGTTTTAGATAAATGACAACTCAGGTCTCAGGATGTCTATTCTAATAAAATAATATTATCTATACTATTACTATGAAGGAAATTCTTCACTTTTGGTGTCAAATTTTTATTTTTTAATGTTACTACCATTAATCACTCGCATAATAATTTAAAAAATACACAGAAAATAAAACTGTAATAATAAATATTTAGTGAATAAGATAAGATTACGAATATTTTTCAAATTTTTTAAGACATAATTATAATCCATTTCAAGCACTAGTGTTCTTTTATTATTATTATTTCCTATCTTAATAAATAAAAATGCAGATTGATGCGGTAGCCATAACAGCTAAACGGAAAGGGGTGTGCATAAAGTGGTTCATAATCAGTTTTGTCAAAAGTCGAACCGAACCGATTTTTAATGGTTTGGTTTTTAAATCGAACCAGTTTTTTTTTAAATCGATTTTTAATTTGTCCAAACTGGTTTAAAACCGGTTCTGAAACTAGTTTATGGTTTTGAACCAGTTTTAATTCAAAACCGATTTTGAACCGATTTTAATTCAAAACTGATTTTAAATCAAAACCGGTTATGAACCATAAACCAATTATCAAGTTCAAAACCAATTTTATAACAAATTAAAAACCGGTTTTTGATGTGCTGTGTTATTTTTTTTTTTGAAATAAAATAAAAATACCTTTCTTGTTGCTAGTTTAGGAATTTCTAGTTTTTAGTTCTTGTTTTGCACTTGGATCTATATATCGACTTAGTTAACAATAAATGTTGGTATAAGGGACAGTGATCTGAACTCAGGAAAATCTCTTGTCCAACTATTTCTTGTTGCTTTTTTCTAAGCTACTGTGAAACTGAATCAGACTTGGATATTCTTAATTCATTTAACAAGGTATCCATGGGCAAAAAAAAATTAATTTATTGTTTTTTTAATAAAAAATTACGAAAAAAGTAATCGTTTTGAAATTAATTACAAAAATATTGCACTTAAACACGCCCACATGAGACGTGTTCCAATGCAGAAAAACATGTCCATGTGGGGCGTGACCTACGAAAGAGACACGCTCACAGTGAGCATGACCAGGAGAAAGGCACGCCCAACAAGGGCGTGACCTCCCTGGTCAGAGAAAAGCAACAAAAAAAAAATTAAGATGGTGATGGTGTTGTGACGACAAGGATGGAGGACATGCATTGGATTTGGATGTACCGCAAGATTTTTTCTTTCTGTTAGAAAGCAAAGTGGAACAACTTCAATCAATCTTAGATTCCCTAAACAGAGGGAAAATGAAAGGAGATTTCTCCATTTCACTGCTTCTCTTCCCATCCCAAACTTTCACCAAACAGGGGCTAAGAAGATCCCTTTTTAATCCTCACATTGTGGGGCAAACGGGTTGAAGATGGGAGCTCTTTTGTTCCCGGGTACATTAACTTCTTTCAGATTATATATAAGCT